AATTATTAATGAACATATAGTTGACGATATGGCAGATCAGTGCACTAGAGAAAAAGCAGACAGTAAAATACAGAAATTTGTAATAATACAGTACAATGCATAAAGGATAGCAAAGAAGATAAATTAGAAAAGGGAATTAGGAAGTCAAACAAGCGAGTTCAGAATACATCATAAATGAATCATGCCAGTTCGGCATGAAAAGCTCACAAAGTATTCTTGGGAGTTGAGGTAGTACCATATTGTAAAAGTACTCTGGGTTCCAAAACGACGGTGGCTTCCATCCACACCAGCCCTTGTTTAGCACTACTTTGAGATCTTCTGATCCGAGTGTAGTGTGGATCAAGGACTAGAAATCCGCATTCACCAGTATTTTCATCGAAATCCACTCCCAGAATTGTGTGCGCCAACTGCCCTCCACCTGAAGAAAATTAGTTCAAAGTATATGTTGGGGAGGGTTCTCAAGAATAAATGGAATACTAATAAAAGAGGCATATTCACAGGAATGCCACACCATCGTCTGAAAACTCAGAAGTAAATGGGTTGTCCAGAAAATTCCTTCAACACCCTGAACAAAATTCTGTCGAAGAAATCAAAGCCCCTTCAAGTGTTTTGGCGCTCGATTACTGTAGTATATCGTCGGAGCTGCCAGACGAAGGGTACTAGTGCAACACTTGGCATGCATCTCCTTCTGCTTCAAACTCCTGTTCGAATCATGTCTTATTTAGACCTATTGAATATTACGTGTTACTTAAAGGCCTGCTTGAGCCGTTGCAGGTCACATCTGTGTTGCAATCAGGAGAGAGAGCATTCATCAGACTACAGTGTCCGTTAGCCCAAGGGCTTCGTGACTGGGATATTAAATTCGAAGGAAAGCAATGGCCGATATCGGCAGTAAACCGCAAGGCTGGAAGTTGAATTAGATGTTAGCAATTTTGAATTTGTTTATATGGGGTACCTGCTCTTTTATGCCACAGTTCGCCGTGCGAAACTTTCGTGTGATGAATCCTCTTGTGGCAGCTTTCAGTCTTGCAGTTTACTGCCGATGTTGGCTAACTGGGTCATCGCGCTAGCGTGAACGAATGTGGTTTACCTTTGAAGCTGAGTTGGGGTGAAATGGTGCCCCGGTGTGTAACTGGTAGCACTGCCCGGAAAGCAAGCGATCCGGGTACGAATCCCGGCTGGGTACCACCAGCGGTTTTTGGTCCAATTAATGAAGCAGATAATTCACCTAAGTTTTACGAAGCGATACCAGCGACCCGAGGTGATCGACTATGTAACAATGTTATTCTCACATATATCTAGAATGAATTTTTCAAACAAAAAATCAAGGCTTAGCTCAACAATACCACAGAGCGACGGGTCAGTCAAAAGTGGTACGATTCCTGTTTCTTCGCACCTAATTAATTATGCCTCGCTCCGAGGTGCGAAGCAGCCCTAATTGAGTGGGATAACTCAGAGGTCATGATGCCACCTCCACATCCCTATTGATTGAACAGCCACTACTTTGGGAAATCAACAAGTGTGGAATGAAAAAATGCCACGCTGAGTGACGATACTAGTAATTCACAATACCTGACTAATTTTATCATTGAATAGATCGGCCTATAGCCCAAAACATTCAAATTTTAGGTTATAGAAGTTACATAAGGGTTTTGACACCTTTACTGAAAAACTAACAGAATTCATAAGAGTGTTACTAGGAAATGGTTACCATGAGAACTTTATTATAACTAATATAGTTAAGTGCATTTATAAAAATAAGTTTATATGTTACAAATTTTCAATTGCTAATAATTATAAAAATATTAGTAAGTTAGTGGAAGGAATACTTCGTCACTAAAGTGCTATCTAATTGTTAGTGGAACAATTACAAACACCCACCTTTTACACTTTATAGTTTTACATGTTTAATCAACTTATTTTTTCATTCATTTAGTCAATATACAATTCATTTCATTGCATGCTCCTCTGCATGAAAGTACGTTACATCAAGGTTTATTCGTCTTTCCCCTGTGTCTTTATTTCGCCAATCCCAACTCACTGATGAGCTCCGGGGATTGACGAAATAATAAGGTTCGTCTGAGGAAGGAGCGAAACGAACCGTATCTATTATTTTGTTTATAATGGTTTTTTCTTAATTTTAATTCAGAAGATGTGATGCTAAGGTGAAGTAGGTTAGCTTAGGTAGCTAACCTAATAAAAAACAAAAGCAAATAAGCAATTTTCAAAATTATTTATGAAGAAATAACACTTCACCTTAGGCACGGCTTACATCTCTGATACATACTTTTGTATAGCATCTAGCAACAACTACATAAATAGTCAAACGTTCGATTTCCAGATTTTCAAGGCTAAAAAGAAACTAGAGGATTAGCGCTTTCGAAAAAGTGTCGAGCATTCTTCCAACGATAACTTCCTCAAAAAATAGCCCCGTTGTCTGTTTTTCAGGGGTTTGTGGTCCGATTTTCGAGAATGCGCGGGCTTTCGTCGTTCAAATGTACATAACTTCCTTCATTAGCCTTAAAATTTGCAAAACGTATGAACTTTCGTATGAAATTTCTTTAAGGGCTAATTAGAAACTAGAAGACTGACGCTTTGGGAAAAAATTACTAGAAATTCACCTGAGTGATATTTCAAAAAAATCGCCCCTTGTTGTTCTGTTCCTATTCTATTGTTCCGCTTTCCCTCAATCAGCAAGATCAGTGCTTTATAGCATAGGTTAGATTACTTGAAAGGAAAACTCTCCCGTCAAAAGTTTCTATTAGGGTCTAGAGGTCAATCCGCCGAATTAGCTGCACCTTCTCCACTTTGATTTGGTCTAGAGCATGGGATTTTCCTTGAAAGAATTTTCGGACTGTGCTCATTGGGACATGACTTATTTTAGTGAGTAATCTCACTCTGGGATGCTCCATTCAATCGTTTGTGGTGCGTAGCCGCAGTGTTAGTTGAAAGTTTCTAGCTACTTGATACCGATACTAAATGGTGCTTGAGCTTGCACCATTTCCACTGGCCAAATACGACCCCCCCCGTTGTTCTTTGCGCAACATGCGGTTGACCCTGTTCCAGGGTGTCCACATACTTTTGGTACGCACTGTATTTGAAATTGCTGTTGATCCTGTTTTGCACATGAAGCTGTGTTTATATTGCTCAGATAATAAATAAATATTTAACCCTGATCATTTTTCCAATGAAGTTGCTTTCACTCAATCAATACGGATGTGGAGGTGGCATCATGACCTCTGAGTTATCCCACTCAATTAGGGCTGCTTCGCACCTCGGAGCGAGGCATCCCTTAATTAGGTGCGAAGAAACAGGAATCGTACCACTTTTAACCCACCCCAGAGCGACGTTGTAAGAAGAAGACTAATGGTTCCCCACTAACCTATCATTACTGGCGTGCCAACCGTCTGGAAGTGCAGTGCGAGTTCGCGCACTCGCTCAGCCACTTCGGCTCCGGAATTCGTGACAATGAAACGTGACTCGATTCCTACAAAAGAAAAACAGGAATTTGAGGATAAAGGGAACTACGAAAAAAGATAACACTTGCCTAACAAATGATCAAGAACGAAGCCGATCTCAGTACTACCTATCCATTGTCGGCTACCCACAAACTTCTCTTCTTTGTCACCGATCTCCACCAAACACTAAAAAACGCTTAATTTTGATTTAACGATTAGTTACTGGAAACAGCTTATCGAATCAATGGGCAATACATAATAAGCTCTCTATGTAGATGGAATTATCGACTTAGTGATCATTAAATGGTGGATTTGAGGGGCCACTATATTCTGCTCTACAACTCGAACGATAAGGATCAATATAAGGGCGTTGATTATGCTGAGGAGAAGAGCTTTGATAGCACTTTTATTCTAAAAGCTTTTTGATAATAACCGGAAAAACCAGTCTGGAATGGCGCAGAAAAGATCCTAAGCAAGAGTCAGATATTTTTGCCTCATGGAGAGGTTACGGGTGTAATGGAGATCTTCTATCAATGGGAGAGACACTACCCATTGTAGAGATCTCCATCATCTACCAAATGTTTACAAAAATAATTAGATGTCGATGTTGTAGGACAATCACACCGCTTTCCTGGCCTTAACTTGATCCCTATCGTTTGAGCCGCAGAGCAGAACGGAATGACTAATTCGAACTCCATTTTCACCTATTGAATTGAAACAATCGTACCCGTTGTATTTCCGAGTGATTGGGCACTGGTTTATCTGTGAAACCATTGAGGATGAACCAACTCCATATAGACTGCAACTGCGATAGGCGCAACCCCAACCTACAACATGAACGTGGACTTTCTCAAATTTCAAATGCAATGTAAGCATGGTAATGCGGCATTAAATGTCACAAGGTGGGACTTGAAGTTAGTGAAACATTTACAGAACTCTAGACTAATCCTCATCAGGGGAAGGGATTCTGAGAGAGGACGTGAGCGACCATTGTTCTCCTTTACGTTTCTCCCCTCTCTTACGCTTCACCTTAGCGTTACCTATCAACGGTTTTTAACTGCCCTGCTCTGAATGTCCCTCTTAGGACATGAGTGCATAACTTTATTTCAGAAACGTTGCAGTTCGCTAAACACTGCTGCTGAAAAAACAGAGAAGCAGGTCCGCATCACAATATAATAGACAAATACTAGCTAGCTCATTTTTAGGTCGCATTTGATAGTAGGTCAAACAGCATAATTGAAGAGAACATAAAGTTAAAGACTGTGCGGTGATATATACACGGCGAGCCCACTGCGCCTTTTCCTTTTCAACACATCTTTATTTAAGGATGTGTGGACGGGGCATGCACCGAAATGGGCGGTGCGAAAAACAAAAACTCCTGATCCGCTTCCAGATTAGCCCTGAGCCCATGGAAGAAAGAGGTGAAGTGTGTGCAGTATCGTTGGAGAGGAACTGAGGAAGTCCACCAACGGTGGGAGAGGGCTCGCCGAATGGGGCAGTGCTTACTTAAAAGTTCACAACTCGGTTACAAGAAAATCTATGAAGCAGAGAAAATGGTGGAAAAAAGCAGTTGGGGAGTACAAGGCATATTTGAAATGAGCGGACGCCAAGCAACAGTTGACGAACACGACCTTAAAGAAGGAGTTCACTATAAGAGCGAAGGTCAAAGAAGGGGAAATTTGCATAGTTGGAGACAGGCGGACCTCCTGAGGGTGCTGACCGACGCGCAATTGGCAGCGAAAGATTTGACCTCGGCGATCCAGCATGGCTCACTCTTGGCGCGGTTGGCGGGGTACGCCCACCGACTATCTAATCACTGCAGTTCTATACGCATGGTCGCGAGTTAGAGAGCATATGAGCGCCATTGCTGAAGAGGCCCAGCGAATGAGAGCGCTCAATGCGACACACCAACGGGCTGAAGGCTCCATTCTTCTCGACTTTCGAATTGTTTCTTCTTCATTCTTGCTCCACTGACCACTTCTACCCCCATTTGCATGAGCTAACTTTTCATCGTAAATTCTGCCTTTAATTGTGCGGGATTGCTGTAAATCTTGGTTACAATAAATATTAAAGATCGGGAAAAAGGGAAGACGCCAGCGTAGGAAAGAAATTCAAAAACAACAAGTCAGAATTAAATAGCAAAGGGAAAAATGAGACCACCACTAAGAAGATGTTTTTCAGCACTGATGTATTAAAGGAATCTTGCGCGGAAAAATCATGATTCTATTTCAGCCATAAATCACTGGCTTGAGACTCATTATCCACGATAATAGTGAAAAGAACTGAAGTATTGCTTTCGTTTTGATTAGAAATTCGAAAACTCGAAAAGGCTGCTACGCGTTCGAATTGCCCACGGACGTCTTTCACGAATGCTGGCGACGGGGATGCTCAAACTTGGTTCTTGGAGTGCATTCACTAGAAGCTCTTTCTGGCCTTCTGCTTCGTTGCATTCACATCTTACACTTCTACTCCATCCTATTCCATCGATCGATTTGTCTCCACTCTCCGAAATCGCGCGCTTTAACCCGATTCTCTCATTGCGTCGCCTGGTACGTAGCCGGCCAAACGCCGTCTTCTTTCCATGCCTCGCCTGGCTCTGCCTCCTGGTCCTTCGATGGTCCATAACGTGTAGTTTTTGTACGTTTGTTTCTCTTCAGAAACCGAATCTTCATGCGTGAAACTTTGTGTGCTATTTCCAGTGATCACAACTGACATATTCATGTTAGGAAAGAGTGCAAGAATTTTCCGCGCAAGATTCCTTTAATTAGTGAGCATTCTGCCCGTGCCAGCATTAAGTATGACCAAGTGTCTAGCTATTAACCCTGTAAACATGCTCTGCTTTCACTAGCAGTTCACCAAACATCAACCAAGTGTTGTCACTTCTCCAACCTTCTCTGGAGGGCAATTATATACGCTGAGCAACCCTGATGAATTAGAGACGTTTTCGACGGAATGGTGCTCACTGAATAACAATGAACCCACTGCGCCAATGAAATTCTCATCTAGGCACAGTCTTTGCACGATTTCACTTCAATGTAGAAGTCAAATCGAATCACACAACAAACAGGACCAGCATTCATATCATCCGTCCGCATGTAAATGGTGATCAATGATATGTCCCTTACCCACGGCACGACTCACTCGCGCTGTTTCTCTGAATAAATCGAAAATATTCATGTTTATAAAATTTGAATAGCTGAGAACTACTGAAGGGCATTGTTCATAGTTTGCGCCACGAGAGGAGGACGCTCGAACCGAACGAATCTGCGCAAATGCGAAATGAATGAAGTGCGTATCGATCCACAAAATGGGAGGGGCTTCGAATCGCGCATTGGAATCTGCGAATCCTCTTGAAAGGAATTAGTGTCTATCGATCAGTCAATCGGAGATCGCAGCATCGAAACGGCGGTGCGAAAATCCTCTAGCAACGCTAATAGGGCGTGGTTTACTACGTCGATACGCATCTAAACCTTTTCGCATCCGCGTTCGCGCGTGCGCGGATTCACCTGGTCGATACGTATCTTTTTCTTTTCGCAGATTCGAATATTCCGATGGTTCCAAAACTATGAACAATGCCTAGGATCAACTTCAATGCAACACCCCCAGCAGAAGTTGTGTCTAAAATATCTTTCAGTGGAGTGTGGAACTCGAGTAAGCCTCGAGAGTACCAGCAGCTTGCCCTTGTTGCAGCTTGTAGGTGCGCGACTATGACAATGGCGCTAGGATCTCAGAAAGTCAGTATTTGCCAACTAATTTTACATTTGGACGAATTTTCTAGCAACAACCGCAGGCCACGGCAATGTCTGATTGGGCCACGTATTAGCGGGTATCAGAAGGCACGGGCTTGTGGAGCAGCATGGAAGAGCAGTTCGTACAACTCGGGCTTGCTGAAAAAAAACTCGATCTGGAAGTGTTGCTTCAAGCAACGACTACTGTGACAACTTGAAGATTTCGTCTACGACAACAAAGATATCAAGACTCACAGTTACTTATGTGGATATGAGGAGACCGTAGAAGTTTGGATGGAGCAAACGTAATTGCTTGAGCTGATCGGAGACATGGCACCACAAGAGGGAGATTAAACAATTTGTGAAGCTTGACACGGAACGAGTCTGAAATGCAATCGCACTGGAATCACGCAGAAATCATCAAATCTAGAATGCGCTAAAAGTTCTGACCGCTTGACAAAGCACTGCTATACCGCAGAAAAAGATAGCAGCACGAATTCAAGTTATGTGAAGGTGATCAACAACCAAACACTTACATACACTCGGAGTTGATACGGTCACCTTTGGCCTGAACGAACTGATGAAAGCAATGCGGCAGAGCACCTACCTTTCAACAACGCCGGTTATAGTTATCCAAATTACCCCACAACAGCCTTTGGTATTGCACCTTATATCAATCCCGGGCTTGATCTTACTGGGAAACACACGGACTAGCTCCGAAGTGGAATATAAGCAGGCGTTGCACACGCTTACAGTTTACACCACTGACATCAATTGCTGATTGGTTTTGACTACAACAACGTGAAGCCAAGTAGAACCTCTCTCGTCTCGCCGATACAGCCAAAAACTACGGCCGGATGTAAAGTTCTTGATACAACCCTCCAGCGAAGCCGTGAAGAGTGGCAGACCTACGGTTTCACAATAGAGTAAAATCATTTGTTCTCCGGTTCAACCTTCACAGAGGAGCTTGTGACGAATTAGACAATGAAAATCTCCAGCGCGCAGAACACAGAAGCTGGTCTTCCATTTTCGGTCCAAGCTGAAGCTGTGGGCCCAAGCTGAAGAAACTGCATCAAGTTCTAGTGAGTGTATGGAGACGATTACCTTTCCCCTATCCAATCACATAACATTCTTACTGATTCCCTTCATTCCTTTAGCAATATCGAGTACTTTCCAAGCGATCAATACTTTTGCAGCACCCTACATAAGTAAAAAAAGAACCGACGTTGTTCCGTATCGTCAGCGAGGGGGCACTGCACGTGAAGGAAAGATGACCATCCAGCAGGCAGAAATACCTGGGACATGGTGGCTACCACGTTTTTCTGAAAAAAAAAGTTTCGGTTCCGTCTCCTCTCACTAACGAGCCATATTTCAAAAGAGAAAGGGAAAGAAAATAAACCTCAAACAAATCATTATCCTAAAATCTATCACATCTAGCTACTACAGTATGGGGTATAAATATGGTTAAAAATTGTAGTACAACCCAGGCCAGAAGATTTTGAACGGGATATCAAAGGTAGCAAAGTTTAACCACCTCATCATACAAATGTTGTCAGTTCCTATTCGATATACTGCTGAACTTAATAACATCCTTCAAACGTACCCCACAGACATGACATCTTTCACAATTTTATCTGGTACTTTTTGAGAGCAGATTTTACCGAATATTCGCACTGTGTTGTCGTTCTTCAAGTTCAAACAGGTGAACACGATGTCGGTCAATGCTGACCGACAGTTGTATAAGTTAATGAAGGCGAATGGAACCCGAGGTTTTTTATGAAAATGATTATTACTCAAACGCCTTAATTCACAATATGGGCTGTGACCTGTGCTCTTTACAAATGCCGGGATTTTTTTCTTTTATCAGTTAACAACTGCAAAATCACGCCGCAGTAACACTTTGGAGACCGCGCATGTTTCACTTTTTGGAAGTTTGGTGGGAATTCAATGAAATTTTTAGGAAAGTTGTCAAGCCAAATTGGAAAGAAAATTCTACCGGGCAATGCAGAAGAATCCTCATCGAATGTAACGGAAAAGAAAGCAAAAGGAAAACTTAGCATTTTTATTTCATTTTCGAAATGTGAGCTGAAAGGTCCTACGCGGTCGACGGACTGCAGCTCACATATAGGCTGCATGAAGCTGCAAGGGTGTTAATTACAATTACAGAGCTCTCATTATTGTCAGCAAAGTGTTAACGTGATAAAATACGTTCGACTCGACCTCTTATCAAAGTGTCACTGGCAACAGAAGGTCCATTTGTAGCAAAAATTTTGAGGTCTGTCTGAGGAACGAGCGAAACGAACCATTTTAAATTATTTCGTGTATAATGTTTTTTTCTTTCTTACTTAGACAACAAACAAACATAGTTCCTGGATGCTTCTAGTAGCAAGCGCACCACTTGCAGGCACATCGAAGTCACTTCTTAGCCGCCCTACCACTTAGTGTCTGTTATTCCTTCGCCGACGATCCATTTGACCATCGATTTATCCATTAAAGAAATCGGTCACCTAAGTTTGTCAATGCCAAGCAGTGCCCAGTCAGACAGATGTTCACCTTTGTCAGGTACACGAAATTTTTCCACATCGCTCTCATATAAGAACTTTGTAGGCTTCCAAATACGGTTAGAATATCAACATCATCGGAAGGAACACTCATATGCATAATAAGGGAGAACACTGCTAAATTCCGCCTTACATACCCACCCCTCTCAATCTTGGAAGAATACTACGAGATATTAGTGCAATCCCAACACACATTTGATTATGATGAGGCAAAATCAAGTTCAAGTGACACTTATCGTGCAAAAACTCTCGTCCCATGTGCGCGTCAAGGAAAAACACGCTATTGACAATGTGTTAATATCGACCTATTAAGCTGGCCAATCTTCAATCAATCGTTCGTCACGAAGTCCAAGAAATTGCTCAACACCAGACTCACACAGGAAACAATCCGTGACGCGACAGGAGATATGGCGGCTAGTCAGATTCTATTCATACCCGAGCAAGAGTGCTGACTAAATCTAACTGACGTTCTCTCTAACCTGCTTGTTTCCTTGAGAGCAGCAGCGAAAACGCAAGAGTTCTAAGAGTGAAGAACCGAACATTTCCCGATGTATTTCGAAGAATTCCTCACCGATCTTTACACACGCGTCTTCATTCGCGACCCGTGCCAGAAGCTTTTAGTAATTTTCGACGATGTTTTCCTTTGCACGACTGATGCAGCTTGTCCTTTTTGGAATTTATAAGACCAGTCGTACCGTCCGACTACGTCGCGTTCTACTCTTTTTCGTGAATCGAAATACCCAGCTGACGCCGGATATTCCTCCCATGCACACCCTCTTGACAGTACCCGTTAACTTATATCACCTTTTCCTCAGTTTGATTTCGTTCCTGATACCGCACACTCAACACTGCAGTATTTATACCGTGCCACACTCCATCAGCTCTTGAAGCGATAAACTTCTCTATTACCTTTTTGGGTATGTAAGTCTCCCAAATGTGGCAGATACTGTCCTCTTGTTTCACGATGTTTTCCTGCCATCATTCCCCATTAGAGATCAACATTTCAATATTTCTGTACTGCATCGACGTTTCGTAAACTGTAATTCGCTACCCAAGCATCTGAAAGCTCTATTTCAATCGATATCGATCGATAGTGTGTGACCAGACGAATTTCCACATTTGTGCACCTTGGCACTTCGACAGATTTTGGAATAAGTCCCGCCTACTTGGTTGGGCTCCGCACATTACCGTACTCTTTTTTAGCTGAGCTCTGCATGCCCCAAATGAAAACGCAGGGTTCCCTTTATATTCAAAATAATGCAGGCTTTGGCTTCTCTGTAGATTTTGGAGTAAGTCCAACCCATTGGGCCATCCCCCGCCCAGTACCGTACCCACTTTTACCTGTCCCCAACAGTTCTGGGGCAGCTTGTCCCATCCCTGCCCCAGTTGTTACCATGGCCCAACTGTTTTCTTGGTATACGTAACGAGCGAGCCCTGGTTACAAACAAACATGGAGACAGACAAACACAACAGACTACTGCTTTCTATATGGAGGGGATTGTATTTTTAGCCTCAACACACAATTCTTCGCATTGTTTCGTTTGATAGTTGCGAATCTGTCGTCAGTTTCCTCATGTTTTAACTGCATTTTGTTGGATACACTTTTGACAATATTCACGAGCATCCTAGAGTTGGATACACTTTTGACAATATTCACGAGCATCCTAGAGTCGGAAGGGTTAGCGTTAACCGTGTGAGGCCACAAATACCATCTGTTACAATAAGGTAGAGCCAATCACCAAACAGTGGTATTCAAAACATGGAACTTCAGAAGGATTG